CGAGGACCGCTTTTGTTTTTAAGCGGCCGCGCCCACCACCACCACCACCACCACCCTTTCGATCCACCTGTTACGCGCCATTTAAGAATCCGCGCGCACCCCGCAAGGAGCCTTCTCTCCCTTCGCTTCGTTATCGGCGAATTTCTCGATGAGAGCGAAATTTTTGTCTGCTGAATTTGCCGCGTGTTTCTTCTCGATACTTGGACAGTTGGGAGACGGAATTGAGATGATTTTTGAATTTTAATCTGAAAATGTAATCTGAAGAAGTAATTATTCTCAAATTGATCTTAATGATTCTTAAAGGTTTTGATGGTTAAGAATTGGTTTTTGATTGGATTTTTGGATTGGATTTTTTTTTCTTGGAGATCGATGGAATTTAATTTATAGATTATATAACGAAGCTATCGTTATTTATGCAATTTTTACCGGTAACTGTAATAATTATCGGTGAATATATCTAAATCACGTAATTTAGAAAAAAAGGAAAAAATTCGCGGATGCTGATCGAATGATTGTTGAAAAGAGAAGAAAAAAAGGAGAAAGAAAGAAGGTATTTTTATGATCGTTTCAAAAAAGCACGCCTTTCTCTGATACTTCGTCGAAACGAAGTAACGATGGGTTGATCCGAACGACTCGAAGTCTCGAAGCGAATAAAATTCGTGCCACGTGTAACGTATACGTACCGTGGTGTGTTTCAGGGAGCAGCGATAAAACTCGAAAACCTTTGAGTGGTTCCGTGGCTTCCGTGGAAGCCACGAAAACAACAACCGTTACACCGAAAGGAAAATTCTCTTCAAGAGTTTCGTTCCCTCGACGAACGAGAGAGACCACGAATTACCAAGTCCAACCACCAGTTTTTCCAGTACACGGTTGATCTTTGAACAACATCTCTATCATTTTTCTAAATTAACTGATGATAACTCGACCAAATATCTTTCGATATATCACGAGTAATTTATCGAATTTCGATAAAGATTTCGATAAATTAATTTATTAATTTGTTAAATTATCCAGTCCCCATTTCGTTATTAGTAACAATTCTACGATCTATATATATATTATTTTCAATAAAAAAAGAAAGTTAAGAATTAATTTGACAGATTTCAAACTGTCGAAATGTTCCAAGAAACAAGTCACATATGCACAACGTAACGCAGAAATTTTCCTCAAATTTTTTCCTTTTTGTTCAAGGATCAACGATATCTCCTCGAGTCGACGGGATCGTGCGCACATTTCCTTACCCCTGTTACGTTTGTTGAGCGGTGGAAGGAGCGAAAAAAGGGTTGCCCAAAAATTGGATTACTTTTGTCCGCGGTGAAATTGTCCGAGGGGAGGGGGGAGCGAGAATGTGTCGGGATTGGATAACGCGAGCTGTGCGCCTGAGCGTCGTGCAGCATTCGTCGTACGAGTTTCCTCTTCTCGCCGTGAAATATCCGTGAAAACAGGCTCCTTTGTCAGGAGGGCAGCGACGACAAAACGCGCGAGCGAGCGAGGCGAGGCGAGGCGAGGCGAGGAGGCGCGTAATTAAAAACCGTGAAAACGGGCGAACTGCAGCCTGTCGCTTCGCCTCTCTCGCTAAATTGGATTATTTTTCTCAGCCTGCTCCCACCCCCTCGCCTCGAGAATGGGCGGTGGGGCAGGAGGAGGAGGAGGAGGACGGTGGAACAGAGGAAAGAATTGCCGCTTCCGCGGCGTTCTCTCTCTCCCTCCTCTTCCTCTCTCTTTCTCTTCCACCGTTTCTTCCAACGATTAAAATACTCCTTCGCGAGTGTACCTCGTTCTCGCGTAATCTCCTTCCCCTTCCCCTTGTCCTCCCTCTTGCCGCGCGTCTCCTTCCCCTTCTCCGCCCTTCTTCGGCCCTTCC